TCTCTCTCTCTCTCTCTCTCTCTCTCTCTCTCTCTCTCTGCCTCTCTCTCGTTCTCCCCCTCTTTCATCCTTGATAGTTTCTCCTTTTCCCCCCATGTTTACGAAAGGAACATTTATTATTTCTGTTTCCTGTTCGTCATTGGCTAGGCCAGTGTACCCACAAAAACCACAAGAAAACCTCGCTAGGGAATAACACAGCTTGCCTCAGAAGCGACGCGGACGGCGTTTATTGAAACCATAGTAGCCGTACTCATGTGTGGAGGGTTTTTGGCGTCTTATTTGTTCGTGGATTCCATCAACTAAAAAGCTGTAAGTAAGGAGAGAATGATAATATGGAGCAGGGTTAAATATACATAACACATTACTGTATATGATATGTATACATGTATCAATATGTTCACATAGCATCTGCGTGTTTCCCTGCCAATAACCATTAACTAAAAGGCTGTAAGTAAGGACTCAGTAAAGAGAGAATGATATGGAGCAGGGTAAAATGTACATAACACATTACTGTATATGGCATGTATGTTTATTTTAGTGGAGGTTTTACGGCACTCGCAACTGTATAAGGTCATATGAGCGCCAGAAGATTAGAGGTGTTACAAGAGAGTAAAAAAACATTAAAAAAAGAAGGAGGGGAGATAAGGACGATAAATGTTTGATAGGAAAGAAGAAGAAAACCCCACCAGAGCACCCGCCAACCACCCACTATGACTTATTTTGTATGTATCAATATGTTCACCTAGCATCTGCGTGTTTCCCTGCCAATAATAATAAAACAAAAGTAAAATAATCAGTACTGTTTTCATATTCCGTAAAGTTCATAATATGGTTTTAATTAGCATCTACAACCTTAATTCATTTGTAATAGAGTTTAGTTTCCTGCTAATTGATGACTTTAAGTGAATTTGTTCAAGACGGTTGAAACTGTTTTTTCCGAGGCTGGGATATCGTGAATTATTTGATATCACTGCGTTGAGGTGAGTTCTTGAAAAGGTAACCATAGTTGAGGTAAGACTTAAGACTTTATTTTTAACGTAAGATGAGTATGCACATTTTATTTTTCTAAATCTAAATGGCGTAATAATTACGGCTGCCCGCACTTGTACGCAATAGTGTGATCCTTCTGCCATTTCCTGAAGAGGATTCAACGAGAAGCTATGATATGTGAGACGTGCTAACAAAATGAATTTCTTCTTGCAATCCACAAATTCAGACACTGGCCAAAAAAATCAACACAATGGTCAAATTTGTAGACTTTCTATTGGTGCCATATTCTTTAATGCCTTTTATTATTCCAAACTACTTATAAATTATTTTAAAAACTTCACCTATTATCGTGAGGTATCTGTTTCCATTGGGCTCGAATCCGTAAAGTAACTCATTTTGTCAGCACACTTCACATATTGAGAATTATTCGGTACAATAACTTCACGCAAAAAGTATCAACAAGTAAAACGAAGTGTCAAATACTTGTATTTACACCTCCCCC